AGCCAGATCCCACGCCTCTCCAATGAAGGTCTACCATGCTCCTCAAGTCAACACCCACATCAGATCAAGCATGGTCAAACAAGCTTGGAGTATTTGGGCCATAAAATCCAGATTTGCACCCCCTGCATTTGCTAACACACAGGTTCATTCTCATTCTTTTACATTTTTTTTTCCTTATTTAATTATTTTGCTTAATTTATTTTTCTCATAAACATTAATTTTTTTTTATAAAATCATAAAATCAAGAATTCACAAAAAATAGAATTAGTTTTTTTTTATCAAATTTAATTTAATTTAGTTTAATTTAATTTAGGGAAATCTTAACTTGTTTCTTACAATTAAAATCAATTAGAAAAAACTAGGTTTAAATTCTTGATTTAATTATTTTCTTTTCAAACAAAAATACAAAAATAGGTTGTTTAGAATTAATTATTTTATTTTAAAAAATTAACATTAATTAGAACTTAGGATTTTCTTTTAATTCAATTATTCCATTATTTTCTCAAATAACAAAACACGACAAAAATGATTTTTCTTTAATCAATTGCAATTAGGTTTAGTCAAGGGTCAAAACCCTAATCGCCTCGCATTTAATCCGCCGCGCGCTCGTTAATTATTTTTCCAATATTTTGTAACTGCTCATTGGTTTGTAATAGTTGACTTAGGGTTTTATTTACTGTTTAAATCCCCGATTTTTGGTTATGTAATTAGTCCCCCTCCCCCAAGCCTTGTAATAGCGTAGGTTTATTTTCTCACACTTTTAATTTCTGCAAATATTTAACTGTCTAGATGTAAGCTAATAGGATTGTATGGAAAGAATGCATGACAAAATTAATACGGTTAGAAAACCCTAATATGAAAAGATAAATAACTGAAACAAATCACTCGCACATATTCACTCTTAAGGTATACTCTCACTTCGGTTGACTTCGATAAACGATCATTAAGCATATGGTGTCTTAGTGGTTACCCTCCTGTCTAAAAAGATCAAATGTCCCATTTGAATGTTGCCTCGAAAATGTTGTCTCGAATACGATCTTAAGACTCTAGGGTTATTACTAAGGTGTCCTAACGTTGCTTTGGTGACCGAACGTCCCTTTCGAATTGACCCTTACAAATTCCAACGGCGGTGCTACCTATTCCTTAATAGTAGGATAACGCTGTCTAAAGGAAACAAGAATATAAACAATCTTTTTTCGAGTAGGTAGATGCTAATAGGTACTTGCTCAAATCAAACTTTTCACACTTACACTTTTCAAACAAATTTTTAAAACAAACTTCGTCACACCCTTGAGGACTGATACAAGGGTTATCACGAAGTAAAATATTTTTCAAAACAAAGCACACACAAGCAATTTAAAAATGAGCAAGTACCTAAGAGCCCATGGAAAACCATGGATAGAAAAGGTGCTAACACCTTCCCTTTCTATAATCTACCCCCCGTACTCAGAATATCTCGAAAAAGGATTTTTTTCTGTACTTTTTTCCTTTCCGATTGGATGAAATAAAAGTCGGTGGCGACTCTTGCTTACCGCGACATTTTGCGAACAAAAAACGCAAAATGCAAACCAGTATTAAACAGTCGGTTCTACCACCGTATCACACCAGTCTTCTTCAGGTTTTATATATTCTTTCCCGTTTTTGTTCTTCACAATTGAATGCTCTCATCCTTTTAGAATATCCTTCCAAGCTTTGTTATCCATAGATTTCAGAAAAGATATCATTCTGACCTTCCATCAGTCATAGTTTGAACCATTAGGCGGTCTGTTGTTATATCCTCATTCTTTCTCTATAGTGCCATAAATTATATCCCTGGATCTCACCCAATAAACATGACAGGGTGCCTGCTCTTGATTCCAATTGAAATTCTAGCATTCACAATATCAGAAGTCAAGACTGATGTCTCAACAACGCACAATGTCACGACATATGTTATAACATATGCTGACAGAAAAACAGACTTGCTAAAAACATAAATATTATGCAGAAAAGTAAATTGCAGAAACTTAAAGAACACAATCAATTATTAACCCAGTTCGGTGCAACTCATCAATTTTGGGAGCTACCAAGCCAGGAAGGAAATCCACTATCAGTAATATCAATTTGAAGCTAAACAATCCCAGTTTACACTTCTCACTTAATCCCTAACCAATGCAATTTCTACCTAGGAACCTCCTAGATATGAGAACCCCTCTCGCTCCTAATCACCACAATGATATCAAACACTCCCAGTCCTAGGGAATGTCTCAAGAAACCAAAAGGAAAAACATTATTCCAATACAAAAAATACTTAGTTTGCTTAAACGCTTCACTAAGAACAATACTCAACTTTTTGCTTAAAAGCTTAGAGGAGAACAATAACTTGATCAACAAGTAACAATTAGTCAACTCAAATACATCAAAAGATACACGAGAACGTACAAAAAACACACGGAAAAGCTAATGAACTCTCAAATCCTAAACCCTTATTTTTCACAAGGTTTTATAATAAAACTATGCTTTTAAAAAAATAGGTCTTTAACGTCTCCTTATATATAATTATGCAGTTGGGCTTGGACTCTTCAATCAAATCAAATCTTCAGCTCTAAATCCCTGCAGAATCTTCTTCATAAAAATAGAAACAAAAAACAAATATTTCAAATATTTCCTAAAAAGTCTCAAAGATCATCTTTATGAAACAAATCAAATATTCAATTGTTCCTAAAAACCCTTGATTGGTTGCGCCTGTTATGAGTCCTAAAAACCTCCAGAATCTAATATTTTTCAATCAAATATTCAAGAATATTATCCAGTTGTACTGACATGATGTTTTGTTGCAACATGTTATAACATCTGATAGAACATTTGTCAAATAAGTACCAATAGACTCTGCTATACTAACTGATTAAGATGTTATGATATCTTGTTCAATATTAGACTGCAATACATATTTCTTCCAATGGAACATGTTTTGATAAAATTGTTGTCAATTACTTGTTTTACCAAAATTGTTCCCAACCATAAAATCACAAACCTAACAGTTTTGTTTCCAAACAATGTTGGAAATACTGTTCAATAACTCATTAACGCCTTGCACTCCAAAATTAGCTTGTAGTAGTTGGAAACTAGGTAATGTTTGGGGCCTTGATATAGGTAGTGGTGCTGGAGGTCTAAGTGGAAGTACCAGAGTAGATCTTATAATTTAAGGAGGTTGGAGTAAATTTGGAATATAGTGTGTACAATAACTTTATCTACCTTAACTTGAGGAGTAAGGAGGAAACAACTGAGTTTTTGCTGCTTGAGCGACATCATGGTGGGTGTTGCTTCATGTAGGGCGACTAAACATATATCTTTAGATCCAACCATTGTTGGAGGGTTTTGAGGTCAAGAATCTGGAAAATATGAAAATCAAGGTTGATTTCTTACTCGAGTAGATCGAGAATAGTGGATTTGTCATTTGATTTCGAGAAGTCTGAGCTGATAAGTTAAGGAGACTTTGAATTGATGAATCAAAGAGAGAATGAGCAAGTGTGGAAAACGCAATAATTAGGAGTTGGTTTCCATATACGGAGCCACTATTTCATTATGGAACCATAATTGATCAGAGAATCGATGGTTGTGATGAGTAACTGTGGGACTGAGTCTGAGATGTTGTTGTGGAAAGCTGACCTACAAGGTTAGCACTCCAACACTCAAGTCTTTATGTAAAGGAGAAGAGTGAATGAAATTTGAATTTAAATTTGTGTACCTAAATATAACGTGTGTCCTTTATACAATTGAGCGGTTATAACAATTAGGGGTGTTCAAAACCAAACCGGCCCAATAGAAAACCGCAAAATCGAACCGAAACCGCAAAAAACCGCATTTGGTTCGGATGTGTTTGGGTCATTTTCTCGTGGAACCGCATGGTTCGGTTTGGTTTGCGGTTTGTATTTTACAAACCGAACCAAACCAAACAAAACCGCATTATGTTATAAAATCTTACTAACCAATGTATATTTCTATAATTCTTTAGAGAAATCAACATGTATTATGTGTACATTTTATCATACTTTGTATTATATTCATTTTAATTTACAAATCATAAAAAATAAAATATTATTCATTTATAAATACTATTTTCACAAAATATATTTTATCATATTCTTTGTATAATATTTATTTAAGAATGCAATCTTATTGATATCATTATTTAGATTTAGATAAAATTATAATACGCAATTTTATGTATCAAATTATAAATTTATTTTGACAATTATAATTTTTTTATGGTAATGTATCAACAATTAAATATAAAATTATATTTTCCTATATATTTGTATGTATGACATAATAATTATTTTTGTAAAAAACCGAAACAACCGAACCAATCCAAACCGCATTAATTTGGTTTGATTCGGTTCAGATTTATTTTTAAAAGCCAACCGAACCAAACCGAACCGCATGTTTTTTTCTCTTGTAGTTCGGATGATTTTTTGCTTCAAAACCGTCCAAGCCGCACCGCGAACACCCCTGATAACAATCCACTATTTTTTAAACGTGTGATCTGAGATCCTGAATCTCATATACTATTCTATAAGATATAGTTCTCATGTGATGTAAACAATTTAAGCAATTCTTGCTTCCTTTAGATCGTCGGCTGATGGCCATTTTTTCTATTTGATGACTCTTGCTAAAATATGAATGAAATTTATGAAATATTAATTATTTTCTTATAATTCTTTACTTTATTTATCGTTATCTCACTTGTTTTAAAGAAAAATGACACTAGATAGAGAGAATGAGAATATCTAAAACATAAAAAATAAAAAAAAATCTAAAAAAGATTGTACTACACTAGCTTTTATGAATAGTCATCAAGGGGTTTAGTGTGGAGTCCTCTTATGTTTTCTCAGAGACCTTACCTCTGTCTGTTGTAAAGAGGGTAGGTCACTCTCTACGGACCCTTTCAACCCTAATCTCCACCGTTAAACCCATTTTCCGGTCATTTTTTCTCCCGGAAAACGGTCAACAACCTCAAAATGCAGAATCATAGGTTGAAGCAACAGCAGCATCAACAACAGCAACAGCAACAGCAACAAGCTATGATGCAACAAGCGCTTCTTCAACAACAGTCTCTCTACCATCCTGGTCTCCTAGCTCCACCTCAGGTTGGTTTCTATTCATCTTCATTTCTTCGATCATGTTATCGTTTTTACACTTTTTCATGCTCTCGATCTTGTAGCTGTGCATTTCTTTTTTTGCTTATTAGGGGTTTATCGAAATATCTAGGGTTTTTACTTTGTTGCTAAATTTAGTTTTTTTTTTTTTTATAAATAATTTACTAGATGGGTTTGGCTTATTTTTTGTCTTCTGGTGGAAAAATGATATATTTGTTATTAAATTTTTTTTTCGTGTTTTATTTATGATGGATGTTGAAAAAATGTATTTTTTTTTGTGTGTGTTTGAGATAATAAATATCTCTAAAATTATATGTAAGCGTTCTATTTAATGGCAAAGAGACATTTTTCTAGGAGTAGTGATCATGGGCTATCTCAGTTTCTTGAGTAATTTGATGTGGTTGGCTTTAGGAGATTTATTCAAAATGTTACTAGTGTTCCTAAATATGTTGCGGTGAAGGATTTTTGACAGCTGCCATGATCAATTTAGAGAGAAAGTGATGAGAGAGTTTAGGTTTATAAGTTTGTAGTTAAGGTATGGTGTTGTTTCCTTTGAGGTTAAGATGGAAAAGGAATCTGCATGGTTTAAGAAATACTATCTATTTTGTTTGATGCAGATGCAGCGTTGGTTAGGATTTCTGTTTTTCTTAATGCCGGAGTTTGGCTTTTAGTTGAACTGTGAATGTGTTTGTGGCAGTGAACTCAATTTCATTTTCTATTGTTAGAATTATTAGCAATGAGCTCTTTAATGCGTTTCTTAGCTGTTATTTGTTGGTTTGTGTTTTTTTTTTCTTTCATTCTCCTCATTCACTCTTGTAAATGTTTCTCATGCTACTGTATTTATACACAATACAAATATTCTATCTTGATTTGCTCCCTTTTTCTTTTTCTTTTCATTTTTTCCCTTCTTTTTTCTTTTCTTTTTTACTTTTTCATTTTGCAGATTGAACCAATCCCAAGTGGAAATCTGCCTCCTGGTTTTGATCCAAGTACTTGCCGCAGTGTGTGAGTTTTTGTCTAGACATTTTTTCACCCTTTACTTTTCTATCTAACCCTCACATTCCTTTTCTTTGTTGTATGATTGCGACGCTGACAAGCTTAGGCACTGTTTCCTTTATTTGATCTTTTATTAGCTATTCAAAATTAGATTTATTTGAGCTGCTGATCTTTTATATATTACCTAAGTTTATATCTTGCAACACATAAAACCAGTTTTGTTGTATTAAAGCATTGCCTTTATGTTACTTCTTGGTTGTAACCTAATTGTTTGTTTCTTCTCTTCTTCTTTTTTAAATTGTAGCTTCTTTATCTTTGAGAAAATGCAGGTATGTGGGTAACGTTCATACCCAGGTAACCGAGCCACTTCTGCAAGAAGTTTTTGCAGGTACTGGCCCAGTTGAAGGGTGTAAACTTTTTAGAAAAGAGAAGGTATGCTTTTAACATTGTTACTATGTCTTTGTCTAATATATCGATTTAAAGTACTAGATATAGTTGTTGTTTTATGTTTGACATCGTATGCCCTTCTTATGCAGTCATCCTATGGATTCATTCATTACTTTGATCGCAGATCTGCTGCTCTGGCCATATTAACTCTCAATGGAAGGCATCTGTAAGTGCATTTCTTTAATAGTTGTGTTAGATTGGTTTGGATTTTACGCTCAAAGTTCAATTCAATTGTTTGTAGTTTTGGGCAACCTATCAAAGTTAACTGGGCATATGCTAGTGGTCAGAGAGAGGATACATCAGGTTGGTTTAGAGATGATTATATGAGATATATGCTTTGAACAAATTGTGATCCTTGGGGAACTTTTGGTGAAGATATTATTTAATATGTTTCGTTAAATTTGCAGGCCATTACAACATATTTGTTGGTGACCTCAGTCCTGAGGTTACTGATGCTACACTTTTTGCATGCTTTTCTGTCTACCAAAGTTGTTCGTAAGCTTCGTTCTCCTACGATTTAGTAGTAAAACAGCCATCCATTTTATGCATTTGGAATTGGAGCAATTTTCTTTTATTAAAAATTCATAAAATGTGTTTGTGCTACCTGACTTTATCTTTTGATGGTTCTAGAGATGCAAGGGTTATGTGGGATCAAAAGACTGGGCGTTCAAGGGGATTTGGATTTGTTTCATTCCGTAGTCAGCAGGTCTATTTTTTCCCCTTAAAATCTTGATTTTTTTTAATTTGGAGTACGGAAACTTTATGATGTTATTGACTTGTATATTTTGTCATTTTGTAGGATGCTCAAAGTGCTATAAATGATTTGACCGGTAAGAAATTTATCTGGCTTAGCAGCCTTAATCTATTTGAGCCAATTATACTTTGGAGAATTCTCCAATGATTTTTCATTAGTAAATACTGAAACAAAATTAACATCTCAGACCATGGGAATTGCGCATTAGGATGTTTTGTATTAATTGATGTATACTTTCTATGTTAATTTATAATAAATGTCCTATAGACTTTTCAGCACTACCACTTCTGGTATATGCAGTGTTTAGGTGATTCTATAAGTTTCACATATCTTTTCATGCATGATCGAGGCTTAATGATGACGTGCCTGTGCCTCTCAGGTAAGTGGCTTGGAAGTAGACAAATACGCTGCAATTGGGCAACAAAAGGTGCTGGCGGCATTGAAGAGAAGCAAACCCCAGAAAACAAAAGTGTGGTGGAACTAACAAATGGCTCATCTGGTAAGTAAATTATGCTTTAGTTCCTGAAACAATAAAGTAAAGGATTGTTTGAATCAAATACTTTAACATTTAACTTAATATATTTCTTGATTTAAAAATAGAACCGGGGGCTTACTTAAACTTTGCTGTCATCTTTTTACCATTGACCTAAAGATTTTTAGGTGATTGAACTTTCAAAAATTAGTGTTCATTAAGACTTCTGTTTTCATAGTTAACAAACAGAATAATAGGCATGCAATTAACACGGTTTTCTATCCTACAGAGGATGGTAAAGAGACACCTAACAACAATGATGCTCCCGAGAACAATCCTCAATATACAACTGTTTATGTGGGTAACCTTGGTTCTGAGGTAAGAAACTTGATTTCTATTTTCCAATTTGTGGTTTCATCAATCAATAATAGTCTATTGATAATTTTCAAGCTTATTATGATGCAACAGAAGTAATATTTCGAAATCCATAGACCCATTTATAACCAATATTTGCATTCATTCACCAGTTTTAGCTTATTGTTTTATACTGCATTTCTGTTTTGGCCATTATGGTATAGATGCAGAATTTAGCTTTCTGCCTTTTGATTTTGATATATGCGATGTTTACTTGTGAATTTGTGAGCTGTATCTTTGAAATATATGGAAATTGATGTTCTCGTTTTAATCATTATGACTTTTTGTTGATTCTACAGGCAACACAGCTTGATCTCCATCGTCATTTCTATACCCTTGGAGCTGGTGTGATAGAGGAGGTGCGTGTCCAACGTGATAAAGGATTTGGGTTTGTGAGGTTTAGTACTCACGCGGAAGCAGCTCTGGCAATTCAGATGGGAAATGCTCAGTCTTATCTCTGTGGAAAACTAATTAAGGTGGGTTTTTCACCTGTTGATGCCGCTGGCTCGCTACTAATTGCTCTGTTGTTTTGTATGTTTTATGATTAATATTGCACAGAAATTACTGACTCTAATTATTGTCACTGTTTAAATACAGTGCTCCTGGGGGAGCAAGCCCACTCCAGCCGGAACTGCTTCAAATCCTCTTCCTCCACCTGCTGCTGCGCCTTTGCCAGGTCTGTCCGCAACTGATATTCTGACCTACGAGAGGCAGATAGCTATGAGCAAGATGGGTGGCGTTCATGCTGCATTGATGCATCCTCAAGCGCAACATCCTCTTAAGCAGGCTGCGATTGGAGCAAGCCAGGCGATATATGACGGCGGGTTCCAAAATGTCGCGGCTGCACAGCAAATGATGTACTACCAGTAAAATATAATAAGCTATCTATATGCTGCATGCATATCTCTATATATTCTGCACATTGGTTGGTGTTAAAACTCTAGGGAGTTATTTTCTTTTATTTTTTTCTTTTTAATTAATGGTGGTGATGTAGTTACACCTACCAAATTAGAGCAAACATTTGAATGTGTTTGTATCATGTTGCGGTTTTCTAGTTGTGTTGATGAGTGTTAGTATGATGATTTTAAGATATGTTTTCTTCTCACCCATTTGGGTGTGTTACTATTATGATGCAATGATTATTGTCATTACCATCCCATGTATCTTTTGGCTGTTGTATACAATATTTATCAATTAGTATTCTAATTCATAAAAAAAATTAATTAGTATTTTAATTCAAAAGTCTATATGATGATTGAATAACATTACCTTGCACAATCAAGTCATACGAGTATGACTGAATTTTAAATTACCGTAGATAAGAAAAGTAAAATTGATTCTTTTGTAATTTGTCAACATCAATTCCCTAGGGAAGAAGCACTACTGCTAACATTCTCTTGCTCATGGAGTCACGAGAACTACTATGAAAAATTAATGACAACAAAGTACATGATTAAAATTGAGCATTAATGGTATTCAGCTGACATATCCCAAATAGCAAGATGCTTTTCCTCCAAGCAACAGAATTTCTAGGGTATTCGTCTTTCAAAAAGGGTGTTTCTAGATTGAGAAATGATATTTTTGATACTTAAATTTGAGTGATAAAAAATATCAAAAAAGATATCAAATGTAATTTTTATTAGGTGTAGTAGTGTATAATTAGAATTCATATAAGTGTATGAAATGAAAAATTAAAAGAAATATAGAGACCGAAGTTAATGTCAGAGTGTCAAATATTAGATGTTCAAATAATGCTCCTCTTCTAAAGATTTATAATGGATTGTTTTGTTAGGTTTTTAGGTGAAAATAAATCTTAACGAATAATTTGAACTTTATATTTAATAATTTATTATAGGATGGATAATTTAATAGAGAAGTTTTTTTTTTGGTTGCAAAATATCATTCTTCATTCTTTATCTTTAATTTCAAATCTATTTTGGTCCTTTAAGATCAACTTAGTTTCTCTATTTCTTAAATTGTGTCATGTATGTTATTATCCTCTATTTTTCACAAACAAAGTCTATTTTGACATATGTGGCATCTTAGTTGACATCTTGTCATCACCATCATCATTTTTCTTGAGTTTTTCTTCATATATGAATCCTAAATCGAATTAGGGCATAAACTTTCATCTTTGTCATCGTCATTGCCTAAAAATCTAAAATATTTCTATTAAATCAAAAATAAGAATGAGTTCTTGGTGTTGTTCTTCCATTGTTAAATGGGGGAGTTCTGCGAGTTTTGGTTTGAAGGTGTATTCAAGTTTTAATATGTAATGGAGAGACGTTATCATTTTTGTAGAGCAATAGTTAGCAACTATAGAAAAACATTTCAGGGATGTCTACACTTTAGGGTAAGCATCTTCATTGTTTTCGAAAAAAATCTGGAAAAAAAGATTATTTTTAACATTGTAGTGTAGTTCTTAATGTATACAGGACTTTGCTCAAACTGAGTGTGGGTTTTTTTTATTGGTTCTATGAAGAAGTGGAAGATGCAAAAAATTATTCTATGATGAAGCAAAAAAGAGGTTGGAAATTGTTCTGGGTCAACCAAAGTCCTAAAGAACGAATACCCAATTATTTTCAAATCTACTCCACTTGACCTGAGATATAAAATTAGTTCATACACAAAGAGCAAGGTAAAAATTTTATCTACACTTTCACTACACTCATCTGGAATTTTGAAATGACTCGGGCATTGGAGTGCTAACCATGTATGACCATCCCACATTGTCGTAAAGGAGATCAACACCCCGTTCAAGATCATCAAGTATCTAAATGCATATATTTTTGGTTCCCGTGCGGAACAATGACGCCGTCTATGGGAATCACCTTTTAGTTTCCCGCGAATTTTCATCTTTAGATCACTCTTGAACTAAAATAAAATCTGTAACAATAGAAGAAGTAGAGACGATAACTTCGACACTCGTGTCCAAGATCTTTAACACATCTCCTGAATCAAATGATCCTGAATCAAATGATCATCAGATATCACCGATTGGCAAATTTCGTGATATCATGTCACCTAACACATGTCTGTTGTTAAATGACCTTATACTCTTAGTTGACGCTGGCATTCAATGAAGTATATATCAATTGGAAAATAGGATTTCTGGATCGTGAAAAGATCAATGGAATTCCAAATAATTTCAATCTACCTTTACTTCATGCGGTAACCATTGCTGATTGCAACATAATTGAATTCCTTGTAGAAGACATAAGCTCTTATAACATCCTCTACACAAAGACAATGAATTTGTTAGGTATTCAGCAAACAGATCTGAGTTCGTATAAGGGGGGAGATCTGTTAGCATTCAATGATTCAATAACTTGTCCGTAAGAACTCCATATTTATGGTGACTATTGGAGAAGGAGCATCCGATAGAAAGATAATCTCTAACTTTCTAGCAATACCTTATCGGGGTGCCTTTAGAGGTATCCTAGGAAGATCTTTCCTAGCGAGACTAGATGCAGTGACATCTTAGGTACACCTAAAGTTAGCTTATCAAAACGAAGAAGGAATTCCATTCACATTGAATTCCAATGTGAATGAGGAAAAGTGGATCAAGGAAATCATCCAAAAGGAACTTATGGTATCGACCGCGACCTTAGAAGCAGAAGTAGAAGTATATATGAGGGTTCCTAATGTGTTGAACTTAGACGTGCACTAGGACGAGGTATGGCCAGTTCCATATGGTGATTTTGAGTCCATCCAGCTCTGAGAGACTCATTCCAGGTCGGTAAAAATAGGCATTGAACTTCCTTTGGAAGTAAGAACCTCCCTGATTGAATGCCTCCAAGATAATGCTAATCTTTTCCATATAACCCCGCATGAGATGCCAGACATTAATCTTAATGTAGCATGCCACAAGTTAAATATGGACGTCGACACTCGTTACATCTCTCAACATCAGAGGAGGCAATCCTCGAAAAAAGATAAAAGCCACCACTAGCATAGTTCAAGATCTGTTAGATGCCGAGTTCATTTCCAAAGCCAGATATATGGAGTTGTTGTCCAACTTTGTTTTAGTAAGAAGGCCTCTGGAAAATAGAGGATATGTGTTGACTACACTAATCTTAATAGAGCGTGTCCGAAGTATTCTTATCTGCTCCCATACATTGACAATCTTGTAGACAATTCAGTCGGATATTAGTTGCTTTTGTTCATGGATGCATATTTGGGGTATAATTAAATACATATGTTCGGACCCAACCAAGTAAAGACAACCTTCATAACCGAGCAAGCCAATTATTTATATAACCTAATTCCCTTCGAGCTAAAGAATTTCATAGAAACTTACCAGAGAATGATGAACAACATCTTCAAAGAATAAATAAGGGAGGTGATGGAAGTATATATGGACGATATGTGTAAAACCCCAGTTTCTATTAAATTATTTTTATTTATTCTTTGTGAATTCTTTGTAATTTATATATGATTTATTTAATTGGTGTGTGTGTGTGTGTGTGTGTGTGTGTGTGTGTGTGTGTGTGTGTGTGTGTGTGTGTGTGTGTGTGTGTGTGTGTGTGTGTGTGTGTGTGTGTGTGTGTGTGTGTGTGTGTGTGTGTGTGTGTGTGTGTGTGTGTGTGTGAACAATTAGATAAATAAGAGGGCATGGGTGAATGTCCTATAAATAGAGGCGTAGAGAATAAATTGTGACTTGTTGGAGTTGATAAAAATTATTTTGAAATTATTTAAAATCTTAATAATTAGAATAAAGAGTATTTTAATTAAATTAATTAAATAAATAAGCGTGATGGAGTGTGTGACCTTGAGAGGAAAGTGTGGAGAGTAATTAGAAGTTGGTATATTTAGTTAGAATTATTTTATATTTTAGTTTATCATTTAAATAAAATAGAAAATAAAGGAGGAATGACAACATTGGATTTTTGTGAGTAAGTGAAGGGCATGAGAGTAAAAGTGAATTAAGGGAATCATTTTAGGGTGAATAAATAGAATAGTAGGAGAATTAGTTTCTTGATACGTAGAATTTCTGAGAGAAAGGAGGAAAAAAGGCTAGGTAAATTGAGGTAAGGAGAGAGATTATTCATCTAAGGGTGCCTAAATCATGAAAGGGTGGAGAGGTTTCCCTTAACCTTCAATAGGGTTTATGTTTTCTCTATTGTCTAATGATGAATGTGATGAATGAATTATTTTAATTGTGTTTTGCCATGAATTGACGTGATAATTATTGTACTGCTATTGTTGAATGTGTTTTCTCATGTATCAATGGTTGTGGGTGAAATTGTGTCAAAAATTGAAGACCGTAGGGCATAATTATATGAATTAAATCATGATAGAAATTACGTTATAGTTATGTTAGATGGTGATTTTGGAGAGTTTGAATGTTTTTTGTTGGGACCGGTTTGGGGTATGAAGGTTATGGAAGATAGAAGATGAACGTGCTGAAAACTTGAATTTTAGGATTTTAGAGTCATTGCAATCGATTACACTCCCAGTGAAATCAATTGAATGCAGTCTAAATGTGATTTTTGAATTGGAAGTAGCGAAATTGGTTGCAGTGCAATAGATTGGCGCTGTGTGATTTTTGAAAAAAAAATTGTTTTACCCTTGTTGCATTGTCCGATGATTTTGGCCATAACTGTTGATCTGTAAGTCTAAAAGAAACCATGTTTGAAGCATTAGAAAGCTAACGCTCATATCTACATTATGGTAGTTCTTGGTGAAATAATTGAGTGATAGTCATGTGTCTATCATAGGAATTTTTATGATGGTTTGCATGATCGATTACTGAATTATTGAGTTATCATAATGAAATGATGATGCTATAATGAATTGACATGATTGGATGTATATGATTATGTAACTGTTGAGTTTTTGCTGTTGATTTTGTTTGAAGATTATCATAA